TATGTTGAGGAAACAGGTAGGCAGAAAAATTATCATTTATACTATGGGCAAACAATTGCGATCAGTCAGTACCATGACTGAGAGAGTTATTTCTTCATACTTGAACCTTGAACACTGACCACAGTCATAGAAAAGCTAGAGGTGTAAGGAAAAGTATGAGAAATTAGTGCATTGCTGTGGGCAAATTATGATCAAGGATATCTTTAGGTTCTTTGCATTGTCTCTGCATCAGTTACCTAGAATATTACCCAGAGTTATTTTACCCAGAGTAAATTCTAAGAATTTACTCCATTTTCAGAATTTTGGTAGCCTCGAGTCATTCTGAAAACTAAATTTATTCTATCACTGGAATCATCCTACTTATGCCATGCTGATTCTAAGACTATTATTCAACTAGTTCTTCTTAACTGAAAACATTTATATCTGAACTGCTGTTTACTATCACCACAAATTTGAAATCTGCAAATGCCTTTTTTTTTTTTTTTTTTTTTTTTTTTTACAGTAATTAGTTTGGTTTCTTTTCTCCCAGAATCTTTAAATAAATGTTTGCAATGCCCAGTGTGTTTTTATGTAGACACGGACATCTCAAAATAAGTTATATTTAGTTTTTTGTATAATATTTTATCATAATTTTTTGTCCGTCTTTGGATGTCTTAGGAATAAATCCAAGTTATTAAAATAATTGTCATTATTAAGAGGAAAACAACAGGAAAAATATTAAGAATTCTTAACTTAATCCACCCAGAAAGTAAAAAAAAAATAACAAACCCACACCAAAAAAAACCTCCTATACTTTCATAAGGTAATATTTTAAGGAAGTAAGGATTCTTGTGATGTTTTAATGGTCACATTTTCAACTGAATAGTCAGGTGAGCTCAACTAAACACTTTACATATATTTATTCTCAAATTCCTTGAAATACAACATTAAGTCAGGACATAATGACAGAATCTTTTTTTATCTTGATTTTAATAGCTTGCTATTTCTCAAAGGTTCTTTTCAATGGGAAACGATGTTACAATATACATAAGTTCTGTCTTCCACATATTTTGTGCTAAAGCCGACACAAACTCATTTTACTTTTTTTTTTTGTCTGATATTAGGCTTTATTTAAGCAGCAACAAGATGTTGTTAGTTGTTCTTCAAAGCAATTTCTGGTAACAGAATAATGCTCTGGAACTTATATTTTACTTTTCTAAATAAATACCTTAAAGAAAACTAAAGAAATTTAAAATAGATGCTACTGTGGCATAAGCTCCAAAGCACTCTAGATTTACAGCCACTGGTGATCAGAAAGGAAAGCCAAACTCTGGGATGTGTGAGTAAAATCTACAACATTGAAAATCTAGCTGTTTTTTTTTAAATATACTATTTTGAAAAAAAAATATATTGGTAAAAATAAATTTTGTTCAAATTCTTCTTTTCTGGGAAGTTGCTTTTTAATTTCTTTTAGTGCAGAGTTTTAAGTGAGATAGTTTGATAAATGGGTTAGAGATTGAGTTAGATACAGCAGTTTCTCTCTGAGTAACAATTTCATGAAAACTAAAAGTAGCATTTCCTTCTTATTCAACTTATGTTTCATTTATATTTTTAGCTTTCTAACTTGTTCTACTTTATTTGTAGGAACGAATTATGTCCTTAGAAAAGGTAAGTTTCTTAAATTTATTTTCAAACCAATCCTAATGAAACTACTTGATTAAAAATGTAATTTTTACATATTTTTTTAAAAAAGGTTGCCATTTGGATTTTTTATTGCCATTGAAGATGCATGATATTTTTGCACTGCACCTTTCTGTTTAGATTTTCATTACAGTATTTGAGCACCAGTTATATAAAATTTAAAGTAGTATACTTTTCTGTATAGTTCATTTCACATTTGTCGGGAGTTAATACTCAAAGTGAGAGTCCTGATGCTTCACATAATGCTGTGTGAATTAGTTCTGCTCAGAAGTGTCTCTTAATCATGGTTTGCTTACATGACAATTAGGCGGGCTTGTATACTCTGCCAACAATTTGTCATGAACTGAGGTAAGCTGCCTGGTGAACTACTTCACAGTCTTTGTCAGTTCCCTCCACCTTGGTAGAGACTGAGAAATTTTCTTGGAAATCAACCAGTTATTCCTGTGAATACGTGCCTTATATATGCTTTGATAGTAAGAAAACTTGCTGTTTTCCGTAGAGAACCCAAAAGAGAGGGTATCACCTGCATAGATTATTTGGATTGGACTTTTCTGGATTTTATTTGGCTTTTTGTTATAATGTCATAAATTCAGAATAACTCCATTAATGTTGTAAGTATTCTGCAAGATTGTTTTTTTTGACTGAAATTTCCTTTTCACTGTGAACATCTATGTTTCAATTTAAGTCATATTTTATGTTAATGAAATTAAGGCTTTGAATAACAGTAAAACAAATTTCTGTTTGAACACACTCAGCAATGTGAAAGCTCCTAGATTCCTCTATTGTAGTAGCAGGCTCAAAGTTGCATCAGTTTTCTGATTTTTTGGTGAAGAATTGAAAGGGTGACAGTCCCCAGTGCAGAGAGATTACATGACTGCCTGACACTGTCCAAGTTCGGGCTCTTTTTCTTTCTTTCTATGTGGCTTCTATCAATAAGCAAAGTCTGCTCTTGTGATTATTTCATGGCTGTCCCACTTTGCATGCATGAATATTTAGTAATTTTTAAAATCTAAGGGTTAATACTTCTGTGCTTGGTTTGCTTCTGTAGTGTCTTGCCAAGACTACCGTTACATCAAAGGCCTTCTGATCCTCCCAGAACACAGCAGCTCTTTGATCTTATACAAATGCCTGGGAGAGGAGCAGCGTCATCCTGCCTGCCTCTCCCTTTCCTTTCCTTTCATCAGTGAGCCAGTGTGTCACTTCCTTTCACTGGGGGTACAGAATTTTCCCAAGGGTCTCCAGTTCCTTCTGCTCACTTTCACCAATAACTTTGGCTGCTTGTAGCCAGGTGCATCTTTTCTCCTAATGCTCTCCTTACCTTCTTCCTTGCTGCTATCTGCTCCTCCGATGTGGCTATTCCACTTACTATTTAGCTATTCTCTTCTCCTTGCTCTTTGATATTTTACTTATTCTTTTTCTTTTTTTTTTGCTAAAATTGCCACCTTTAATTTTTTCTTCACTAGCATTCTGTATCTTTTTTTCTGTTAAAGAACATTGTTAAAATATTATTATTATTTTTTTTTTCATTGCTCTCCCATTTATACTTATTTGTCATCTTTTGCCTAGTTTTTGAATTTAGAGTAGGAATCAAAAATAGTGGAATTCACATCTTTCTAACTTACATATTCCAATTAGTCTGCACAAATTCCACAGACTAAAGATGTATGCGTATATTTCTAACATTCTTATCACTCTTCCCTCAGAAACTGACGTAATTATTTTTAAAATGACTGTTTAGTAAAACTGTTTTTCACTATTTTGAAAAAAATGAGTTACTAAAATAATTTAAGGCATAACATTGGAAAGAATATACTTGTGTTGAGACTGAATAGAAAAATTGCATATAAGCATGATCAGAATATCTTAATGTATATTTTTAAGCAAATGTTTAAAATATTGATGTATGTATTTATTGCTAAAGTTCCTTAAAGAAAGAAACACTGCAAAATGTGGAGAATTCTGTAAACTTTATTAAACTGCACTGTTCTTGGAAGTCAGGATGAGTTGTTTCATATTTACTGACCCTCTCCTGTTTCATATTTATTTATAAATAGTTATTGCATGTGGTTTGCAACTTGATCTAATAACTTTATGTTCTGCCATGGTGATATTAATAATATAATGCTTCACAGAATCATGAAACAGTTGAAGTTGGAAGGGGTCTCCGGAGGTCACTTTGCCCAATCATTGCTCAGGGGGCTTTTGAAAATCTCCCAGGAGGAAGCTCTACAACTCTTTTCTCTTGCCAGTGCTCAGCCGCCCATACAGTACAGATTTGCTTCTTGATAGTCAGACAATTTCTGGTGTTCCAGTTTGTACCCATTACCTCTTGTCCTGTAACCGGGCACTACTGAAAAGAGCCTCACTCCATCTTCTTTACACCCTTCCTGTAGATATTTGTACACATTGATGATATCCCTCCTGAGCTTTCCCTTTCCTGGGGTGAACAGTCCCAACTCTCTCAGCCTTTCTTCATAGGAGAGATGCTTCAGTCCAGTCCCTTAAACAATGTTATTTGCTCTTTGCTGGATTCTTTATGGTATGTCTATGTCTCTTATGTAGAACACCAGATGTGTCTCATCAGTGCTGAGTGTAGGGGATGGATCATGTCATTTATTTAAGAGATGCGTGGACATGACACTAAGGGACAATGTTTAACGATGGAACTCAGTAGGTCAGATTGACAGTGGACTTGACGAGCTTGAAGGTCTTCTCCAACCTAAATTTTCTGTTCCTACTCTTATCCCTCTTCATTTTTTTCCTGTTCTTTTATTCCTATTCCTATTCTGACTAACCTACTGGCAACAGTCTTCCTAACATAGCCCTTAGATTCTCTGGACAGAGAGTTTCTTTTGGTATTGTGAAGTTACTGTAACATTTTCTACATATGGAAAATACTGAATAGTTTTGCCATATTTTGATAAAACAAAATAAGCTTGATTTTCTATTAGGAAAAGTAAAAAACTTTAATACATTGTGCTACTATAGTTGCTGTGTTTTTTTTAATTCTTTGTCATTCAACATTTGATTAAAATGAGGAAATCTATAAGCCAAATTCCTATTTTTTTTTCCTATTCTGACACTAATTTGGTTAAAACACTTCTTTGTGTTTCATTTTTTCTCAGCTGTAAGAGAGAACGCTATTTCTTCTTTCCTGTGAGGGCTGTGTGATTTAATTTTTTGTAATGCATTCAGAAAGGCTTAATGAAATAATGTTAGTGACAAAAAAATTAAATTACATGTAAATGTACGTGTCTAGCCTGCAAAGCTTCATAAAACTGAAGTAACCATTTTGAATGGCAAGGAAGCTTTTTTACCTTTTATGAATGTGTACTACTAACATTACGTTACACCCACTGCCTCTTGAGCTATATTTTTTTTAATTTCCTGTAATGATTCCTGGGTGTCTTTTGATAAAATCTTAGTAAATGATAAGGAATTGATTCTCAAAAACATTTTCTCTTTACGCCTGGTAGCAATCAGAATGCTGGTTGATGATTCACATAGATCTGGCTTGCCAAAAGGTTTCACTCACTACCTCCTCCACATTTCCAGCTGCTAGTATGCATCAAACAACTGAAAATTCATGAAATACTTTCCTAATACTTTTCCATGTAAACAATTCTTGTCGTTACCATAGGGATGATGAGTGATCATGAATGTGAAAAGTAATGGTTCATGTTCCTGTGAATGGGAAAGGAAGCATCCATGAAGCTCTCTTAATTAAAATGTTGCCCACCCTCTGCAAAAACATCTGGAGTCTGAATTGAAAGTTCAGTTAGTTTGACATTTGCAATGCTTTCTTAACAAAGATATGCTGGTTTTGATTAGTATAAGTGCAGTTTTTGCTTAAAAAATCTTAGGACTTTGAACCTCAATGAAACAATGTGGTTTAATGAAAACCAATTGAACATGCATGTTGTATAACCGGGTTTTACGTTTGTCTTTGTAAAGGTAAATTTATTTCTTAATGTGCTGAAATCACCAAAACAACGGAATAGATAAGAAGCAATAAAATGATACAAAATATATATTTTCCTCTGTATGGAAGATGTTCTAGATCACAGAATGACCCAGTTAGAGTGAAATTTTCCTGGCATATAGAGGTCAACAATGAATCTAGGAACTCTTAAAGAAAACCACACTTGCATTAAAAGATCATAAGATGTATGATCAGTATACTGCTGGAGGTGGAAGCTGACATTACAGAGTTTTGTAGATTAACAAGGAAATCAAAAAATATCTTTAAACATGCTGGAAACATCCTACTCTTGTTATTTAGGTATTCAATTTGCAAAGTTGATTTAAGAATAAGATATCATAGGTCACCTTCAACATTCCTCATAGGTCATCTTCAGCTTTCATCTGAATTGCATGTAATTCCCTGATGAAATACATTACAGTCAGTTAAAATTACAGTTGCAGTTAATCTTTTTATGGATATTCTTTGGGGACTGGCTAAATGTTACTGAAGTCAGATCTAATGTTCAAAAATATGTGTTATTCTAATAGACATTTATTTTTACCTCAAAAAAAGAAACCGACACTAACGTGAAAGTCAGTGAAGTTTGGTTTCTGGTTTGTGCTTGTGTTTTCAATATATTGACTATAAAGCTAAACTTTATGAGAACTATGCACAAATCTGCTTTGATTTATTTGAATTTAGCATTGCGGCTTTGAGACTAAAAATAATACGTGTATCTGATCTTGATTTAGATCTGTCTCTTGAGACAGCGTGTGACATTTGCATCAGTATAGGAGGAGGATTAGCTGTTCACATGCAGTTTAAATATAAAAGTGTTTGTATGGTGTCATGGAAAATGAGTAATTTGTTTTATTCTTCTTTAAGAATATAAAATGCCCCCTTTCAAAGCAAATAGCCTTTATTTTAAAAACACAAAGATAAATAGCACGCACTCTATGGAGGAGTCTGCTGTTAAATAAAATATTATGAATACAGCTTCACTCAATACAATTGGTTTTCCTCTTATCAGTACAATCAGTTCACTGTATCAGTACCTTCTGTTCCCCTTTAAATAATGAGCAGACAGATGCATTTGCTTGCTTTAGGATTGTTTGTATGTATTAGGGCATATAGCTTTCCAGTTTCTTGGAAAAAAGTTAACAATGCTTAATTGCCTTCTGTGTCAGGTGCATTCAATATCCTTTTTTACATTTTATCTTGTGTGGCTAAATCCATCTCTCTTAATAGAATGGAGTGTAGTCATTAATGATACAAGTGTGGCATTTAATCCATGCTGAAGAGATTGCTGTGTGTTTCACTAAATTGCTGGACAAATTTCTGTCGGTCAGCTAAAAGCTGTTTCGTTACCTCTCCCTCTCATTGTTTAAAATATTGTTGCCACCTTCTTCATCCAAATTCCCCTAAGAAATATTAATTTTTCTTTTTCCATTTTGGTTTGTTCATTGCCACAGTTCTATTCATTAGTTTTATGAAAAAGGAATATATTTTTCCTCTGAATACGCTTATGTATGTTTTTCTGATCATAGAATCAGAATTGCTCAGGTTGGAAAAGACCCTCAAGATCATCAAGTATTTTAGAATGTAAACGCAGGCAAAGTACAACAACGACAAAAATGTAATGCTTAGGGAATCATGTATGTACAGGAGCAGCATATATTTTATTTTCAGTCATTTGGTCAGATTGCAGCCATTCAAAGATCAGTGAGGCTTCTTAGTCATGAACGGACACATATTCTTTCAAAGTTGATATAAACATTTCTATCATTATGTGATTTGTGATTTTAAGCAAATTGGTCATTTCTCCCTTCAGGTACCTGCCTTCTTTGCTGAAGAATCCTGCTTTATTGAATGTTTCTATTTATTCACTCCTTGCATGGAAAAAACATTCAATAATTTTGGTCATTCTTGTTGCTCTTCTCTAAGCTTTCTCCATTTCTGTTTCTCTTCTGACACAAATTCCCACTGCTGTACTCAGTAGGCAAGGTGTTGCAAACACACTGTGAGTTAATAATCAGCTTTTTTATTTCTTATTTTTCTTTTTAATTATGATCAGTGTTGATTTATCTTTTCTGATAGTTATTAAGCACTGAATTAGCAAATTATTTTGTATCATTTTCCTTATGATCTGGATCATGATCAGTAGTGGTTAGCTCAAAGCCAATTACTTTATAGGAATCCAAAAAAACTATTAGTTTTTTTTGTAATCAGAAATTCAAGCTGCATTTATTGTCCCTTATCCACTGTTGATAAGACCCTGAAACTAAGCACTGAGTATGCCCATAGCACAGAGGTTGATCTTCTGCTTTCCAGATGAGAATTAATAAAGTAACAGTAGTTTCACATTTCTAATGGGTGCAAGCTGAGGCACAACTAAATTTTTTCACAAGTAGTACGTGAAATAGAGGGGATGTATTTAGGAGGTACCTAAAAAGAACAAATGATGAGCATCCTCCTTCACTTAGTGGCAGTGTTGACATTGGATCTTGGCACAGAAATTTTGAGAAGGAGCTGAATGTTGAATGGCTTAAGGGATGGACTTACACTTATGGTCTGAGTTCCTTTCATATGAGTAGATCACAGGTTAGAAAAAAAATATTCTGGTTGGAAGAGGAATATTCTATAAATTGAAAGTATTTAATTGGATCCTGAGGCACCACTACATTAATTGTGTCCTGTCTCCCCTACAGTTTTATTTCAACTTTGTATCACATACTTAATGTTTGTTTTCCTACAGTTAACAAGTAAAATCTTTCAGCAAAATTATTTATGGTTTAATTTGGTGCTGGACAAAGAAAAGATACAGAGTTCTATTACGGTTTTGTTGTTGTTTCCCTGTGAGGAAAAAGTGTGTTTCTGAAGGACTAGGGGAATTGCTTTTTGGAATCAAAAATTTCACAGACTGTCAGATCTGTGTGATACCAGGAATAACTGCTGAATGCTGTGAATCAGTATTTTAATTTACTTATAATTAAGATTATGTTTACGAGAGCAGGTAGCGATCTTTATTGCTTAAAGTCTGTTGTATCTCCTGTATTTCCCAGCCTTAAAATTGCACATGCAGGCCAGTACCAGGGGAAGAAGCAGCATACATTACAGTTCATCATAAATTAATGGAGTTGAAAACTGGCGCTTTGATGAACATAAGTAAATGAATCATGAAATATGAATTATTACTTCCTTTCTGTTGTAGAAGTTATACTTACAAGAGGAAAACATCAGAGTGATAGATACCTCTAGGCAATTTTACTTTGAAGTGGAGAGGTATAGTAACATTTGAGAAAAACAGACAGGTATTTTACAACTTTAAAAACAATTATGTGCTATAATCTGTGAAAACACATCAATGTTATATTTAGTCCTCCTGCCAGATTGCACCATTTTAACACTCATTGTTAATACATACGTGAAAGTTCTGTAATTCCTTTCTAGTAAAGAACCAGGTATGTTACAGGAAACACAATATTATTCCCCTTAAGATCTCTCTAGATTAGGTTTGTAAGCTGGGAAAAAAAAAAAAAGAAAAAAAAAAAAAAAAAAAAAAAA